GAGTGTGTGTGTGGGGCGGGGGGCGGGGAATGGGTGTCCTGTGGCCAAAGAACATTCTAGGCTTATATTGTCTCAAAAAGTTAGCTGAATGTGTATCATTTAAAGTTATAAATGGATACAAAGTACCCAAAACCGATCTCAGAAGAATCCTAAGTGAAGTGCTCTTCTGGCTCGATTCTTTCCTGGGTGCAAGCAGGGAAGAGGACAAGGGTCACCGCAACTGCGCTCGGCACTCTGGGTATCCAGTCTCTGTCCCAGGAAATAAAAGGGGCATTGTAGCTGGTTGTTTATAGTGCATGAAAGACTTGAATCAGCCCTAGCTGGCGTAGCTCAGTGAATTGAATGCAGGCTGCGAACCAAAGTGTCGCAGGTTCGATTCCCAGTCAGGGCACATGCCTGGGTTGCAGGCCACAGCCCCTAGCAACCGCACATTGATGTATCTCTCTCTCTCTCTCTTCCTCCCCTCCCTCTCTAAAAATAAATAAAAATAAAACCTTAAAAAAAGACTTGAATCAAATCCCTGTTGAAGAGTTTCCCCTAGATCACTTCCCACAGGTTCTCACAACACTGGTTCATGAAGGAACTCTGCAGCACTGTGACATCTGCCTGTCTTGATTGCCGGTCCCGCAGGCTGTCTCCCTCTGTCACGGTGCTAATTTCTAAAGGGTATTATTCCCTGTTTGCTGACTGCTGCCTCCAGTCAAATGTCAAGGTCAGAAGTTCCTCTGAAGGGCCATAATTAAGAAGAATCAGCTTAATTGGAAATAAACTTTGAGCTTTCAAGACAAATTGTTGTTTATAGAAAATTAACTTTTTTTTCAAACATAAAAGAAGTCAGTTTCCAGCTCCTGGGGTGCTTGGCAAAATGCCACAAAGAAGTGAATGAACATATACATGTGACATGATTTGATTTTAGATGTATAGACTAAAATGAATGTCATAACCTAAAATTCTTTTCTAATGGTTAACTTCATTTTTTCCCTCAAGATTGCCCAGCTATTCCATAATTCTCTTAATACTTGCTGCTTCTTCCAATGAATATGTAAGGTTGTAATTAGCATATAAGTACATTGTGAACCAGAACACCAGGAAGCGGAGTTGTAACAGCTCCATTTTGAGAACAGTTTGGTAGCTCTCTGGATTTCAGAGCATAAACAAAATGCTCCAGAATAGTTTGAAAAGATAGTATTTGAATTTGGGGAAATATCTGGTTGGAACTTCTTCAAGATGGATGAACCAGCCACTTTTTTGACTCCTTGAGCCTGGTGCGACTTTGATCCCATGGTGAAATCTTTATTTGATAATATAATTCACGTTTAGCCACCGATGGCTATCCAGATCTGAAATCCTTTTGGTGGAAAGTATAGTAGAGCATCTAAAGCCTGGGTTGTCCCCTCATTCCCTTCTTCGGGACACATATTATCCTCCAGATTCAAACTCCTTGACACATCTCGAGTCTCCTTCTGGACGCCCTGAAATTGGGATGAAATATTAAAGAGAAAAATCAATTCAGTGGAAAGGACAGTCTTCATAATATGTGGTCCTGGAACAACTAGATATTTATATGCTAGAAACCAGACTTTAACCAATACCTCATGTCATCTACAAAAATTGACTTGAAATATAAATGTAAAATACGAAACCACAGAACTCTCAGAAGAAAATATGGAAGAAACTCATCGTGACCTTGAGTTAGGCCAAAATTGTTACATATGATACCAAATGCATGACTCACAAAGAAAAACACTGATGAAGTTGACCTCATCGGAATGAAAACTTCTCTGCACAATTCGTCGTTAAAGACTGAAAAGATGAGTCATGGGCTAGGTTGCAATATTTGTAAATCACATACCCAAAAAAAAGGACCTGTATCCAGAATATGTCAAGAATTGTCAAAACTCAAAAATAAGAAAACAATGACTCAAAAATAGGCAACACATTTTAACAAATGCTTCCCCACTGTACTTGTCAGGGTTCCCCAGAGAAACAGAGCCCATGGGATGTATATGCATGGACAAGAGAGTTGTTGTCAGGAACTGGCTCGTGTGGTTATGGAGGAGAACAAGACCCGGGCTCTGCAGGGAGAGTGGGCAGGCTGGAGGCTCTAGGGGGTGAGGGTGTAGTTCCAGCTGGAGTCTGAAGGCCTGAGGACCAGGCAAAGCCATGGTCTGATGATCCAGGCTGGTGGTTGCCGGGCTAGCGACCCAGGACAAGCACACACGTTAATTTGAGTCTGAAGGCAGGAAAAAGACAGTGTCCTAATTTGAAGACAATCAAGATGGAGAATTTAACGTTACTCAGGGGAAGGGTTGTCTCTTTGTTTTATTCAGAATTTCAACTGGTTGGATGGGGCCCACCCATATCAGAGAGGGCTTACTCCTCCACTTTAATGTTAATCTCATCCAAAAAAAAAAACAAACCCTCACAGAAACACCCAGAATAACGTTTGACTAAATACTTGGGCACCCCTTGGCTCAGTCAAATAGATGTACAAGATTAAGCATTATAACCATACACGAATGGCAAATAAACACATTAAATATATACTTAACATCAATATTGATGAGGTAAGTGCCAATTGAAACCAGTGAAATAGATCAGTTAGAACAGGTAAAATAAAAAATACTGATAATACCAAGAATGCAGAGTAAATGGAGTTCTTTTACACTGCTGGTGGGATTGCTAAATGATACAGCCACTCAAGAAAACTGACTGGCAGTTTCTTGTCAAATTAAACGCACATCTACCAAATGACCCACCACTCTTACTGCAAGGTATTTACTATAGAGACTCAAAAACTTCAAATCGCACAAAAACCTATAAACAAGTGTCAGTGGAAGATTTACTCATGTTAAGAAAACACTGGATAAAGCCCAGATGTTCTTCAACAGGTAAATGCACAAAAAAATTGTGGCACATCTATACAATGGAATACTACTATCCAGCAATAAAAAAGAAAAAATTATTGATACACTCTAAAGCAAAGCTAAATCCCAAGGGCATCATACCATGTGAAAGAAGAGAGTCTCGAAAGATCACACGCTACATGGTTCCACTGATAGGACATTCTGGAAACTGCAAAGCCGAAAGGCACGGAGAACAGATCAGCCCAGAGGCTAGTGTCTGCCCACCAAAGGGCAGCCTGAGGAAACTCTTTGGGAGTGTTGGAATTGTTCCCTATCTCATTTGTGGTGATTATGTACAAGAATTTATGCACGTGTTAAAATTCATAGAACAGGACAACCGCCGTAAGTGAATTCTGCTGTATGTAAATATTTGAACGTTTAAAAGTCAGCAAGTCGAATTTGGAAGCTGACCTGATAATATCTCTTTAATAAATGACATGTGTCATGGGAAAGAAGCCTATTTTTTTTGTTCGTTTAAAAATAAAGAAACAGGTATGCAGAATAGTTACTGTACAGCACCTTTTGTGTTTCCCTAGGTAAAACACACTTTCTAGTTATGGACGTTCACAATAGGAAATTTCTGGAAATCTGGAAGACCACAAAGAAGTTACCTTGTCAACATGTATCAAATATCTTGGCAGAAAAATTGTCCTAAGGCCAATTCTGTATTTGCTGAGGAAGCAGCTGGCCTCCTCTGCTAAAAGTTGTTCCTGGATTCTCTTCAATTGATAGGCCTCTTGGAATTCACCCTGAATTTGTCTCATGAAAAGCCAAGGGCTCTCTGTAAACAGTAAAAAGCTGGTGTGGTGGAACACGAGAGTGATTGACAATGTGACAGTGACTCTCATTGCTCATCAGAATATGACACATTGTGTGTGTGTGTGTGTGTGTGTGTGTGTGTGTGTGTGTGTGTGTGTTTGTTTAGGATCTCCTGTGTTTAAGTAGCTGATTATTTGTGTGGCTGTGTAGTACATTCATATGATTCAACAGTCTGTAGGCTCCAATGCTGCTGTTTATTAGTCACAATACACCGCTAGGACGCTTGTTGTGCTCACTTTAATCGATCAGTGCCGAGAGCCATCCTGGTTATTAAATAAGCTCAACAGGAGTCCTGTGAGAGTATCAAGTGAAGAGTCTCCTTTCGCTTTGTGTCCCGACCCCTTCTTTATTTTCTGTAACCTTCGATATAGAGACAGAAGGGCTTTTGAGCACTGGTCTCTACGAAGTTGTGAAAAGGTGGGCATTTTAATTACTTCTGACGGTGTGCAGCAATGCAAGACTGGCAAATCTCATCCCAAATCTGTCTTTGGCATCTCTTCAGCCTTCCTTTGAAGACGACTTCCTTCTGATCAAACCAGTCTTTTCCTGATTTCTCTTCCTGATGCACTCCCCAGCTCTGCTGATCTTTGTCCCATCACGTCTGTTGTTGTTTTTTTTTTTTCATAGCACTTACCATAATCTAGTTGTTTTGTGGGTTATATCTTAACATCTGTTTTCCCCTCTAGGCTGAAAACTCTGTGATGATAGGGACCAGGACTGATTTGTTCATTGGTGCATCCCCATTATGTGGCGTGGTGCTGGGCTTTTGTCAGTATCTCAGTAAACACCGAATGAATGAATGACTGAATTGAACGTAGGTGTGCCCCTCTCACAGATGGTTCTGTGTCCACAAGGGGTTCCTGAAGATGTGAGAGCTTCCTTATCGAAGGAATGAAACCCCGATGGCAGAAACAAATGCACGGGGTTGATGTTGTGCATGGGGAGACCTTCCTGTGTGGCACCTCTTCTGGTTAGTGAGTGCCGTCTGATCTGCTGATGTTCTTTTTTGTAGAAGGTAAAAAAAAAAACCCGGAAGACAAAAGATTACCTTTGGCAGGGGGTACCTTTGAACAGTTTGTACAGCCAGAGAAATCAATGTGAAGAGGTGAGCTGCTCCTTCAAGAAATATTTAGTTTCCAAAATTCTCGGTTCAGAACAGTAAACACTGATTGTACACTTTGTTGCATACCAGACAGTCAAAGACAGAATCCTTAAGAATCATATAATGACCTTTGAGTTGATTCTATTTTAAACAAAATGTTATTCTTTAATCCACAGGTCACTGTTTTTACCCGTGAACACACATGGCTTTGTTACGAAAAAGTAAGATCACAACTCTTGAAAATCATGATTAAAAGATATTTGGGACGGCTGTTGTTATGCTGGGTCTTGGCGCTTCCTTTTTCTTCTGAAATCTGCTTTCATTATCATGGATAGTGTTCCCAGAGGCAGTTCTTGGCATCATCACATTCCGTGGAAACTTGTTAAGTATTTGGGTCAAAGGTGAACTTGTCGTGAGAGGGGTCATATGTTTCTATAAAACTTACAAATGTTATTTATTTTTGTATCTAAATAAATATTTGTGCTCCTGTCTACTTTAGCATTGGTAATTCTATATTCTTATTCTTAAAGAGTTACCTCAAATTATATAATCCCAAACCCCATCAAAACCCAGATTTGCCCCTAATTTTAGATCCAATAGTTTGTGAATTGGGGGAAAACATTATAACCTAGTTGTGTACTGTTATACTCAGGGTAGAGTTGCCTGGTGTAGCAGATGGAAAGACAAGTTATCTAGTTAGATTTGAATTTCAGGTAAACTATGAATAATTTTTAGCATAAGTATATCCCAAATGTTGCATGGGACATACTTACACTAAGAAGAAAGCATTTTATCTGTCAACCTTGCATCTGCAGCAACAGCCATGGTTGAAAGGGTCAGGTGGTAGTGACCTTGGGCCATTTCCCCGAACTGGCTGTGGCAGGTGCATGTTCATTGGATGTATTGATAAACTATAGAACTTTACCCCTTATCTTCCGCTTCTCTCCAGTTTTGTTTCAAACTGAGTAGCGTCTGGTTGTCTCTGGCCAAATCTGACGATGCAGAGGCAGGGAGGAGCTGGATGTCAGCAACGCAGGGTCACGGAGCCTCAGAACGCAGCTCTGGAAGGCATCCTTGGATGCTGTCCAACTCCTTCCTTCTACGGATTTTACAGATGTGAAAACAAAAGACCTAGGGGCCAAAAAAATAGATTAGGATGAGGCCAGTAAAAGTAAATATCTCGAGGCACAAAAACAACACACAACAATTGAAAAATCTTTGTTGGGCTTCCATTGCCTTTGTTAACTCTCAAAACACCCCTGTGAGGTAATGATTATTATTACAATCCCAGTTAGCAGATGAGCAAACTGAGGCTCAGAGAGGTTAAATAACCCGTGCAAGGCCACACAGCTAGGGAGTAGTAGAAATTTGCGTTTGACTCCAAATCCCAGCCCTTCCCCTTCGGCCAACATTTTCCCAAATGTAGCCGTTTGTACACCACGTATGCCAATGTAGCACCTTCTCAATTTTTTTTATCATTGGTTTTCCTTCTTTCCTTGGCATGACTGTTTTTTTTTTTAAAAACTGACTCATTTTAAAAAAGTATACATATACTTTATAATAGAAAGTTTATATATCCTTCCTGTAAATGGAAGAAGTTATCTCCTCCCATAAAAAGAAGGTGACTGTACAATTGTGTATGATTAGAACAGTGCTATTCAATTCTGGGTAGCTTTTGTGGCCTGCCTGCATACAAAATTGGGGCTGATTTCTCATGCTGTGATTTAATGTTACTTCCTGCTATGAACACAGACCTCCTGAATCATCCCTGGTAGGACCAGTGTATGTGCTCCATACTTCTGACAACACTGTTCTACATCACTCCACTTCTCAGTAGACCCCAGGGGCAAGGGTCACTGTCCTGGAGGCTTAGAACAGCAAGACCCATAGAGGGTCTTCCAACCTCATACCCAGGGTGAGAATTTTACAGATGTCCTCCTTGACCAGTGGTTGAATTAACTGAGAAGCAGCTGGGTGCTAATGGCTGAGAACATGTACTTAAAATAAGAACAGACTCATCACAAATGCTATAGAAATGCTGGTTCTTAATTGAAGCAAAGTTTATGCACAGAAAAGGCAGCATCAGACAGTCGTTAAGGTGGTAGCCTCTGACTGTCTGGGTTTATCCCTGGATCCTCCTTAAACTGCATGGGTGTGCCCTCGAGTATCAAGAGTATTGCAGGCTAACTCTTCACTGCACGTGCTATCTGCTTAAAGAGGGGCCCCAGGCCACCACTCCTGTGTATGTCAGGCAACTGCTCACATGGCTGTTCTCAACTCTTCCACAACTCCAGCCTGATAAGTAAATCTGAATGTGTTTCTTTTTTTTAATTTCAGTTAATCAGGTGCTGCTGTTCCTTCTGATTGTGACCCTCTGTGGGATTCTGTATAAGAAAGTTCACAAGGGGACGGTGCTCAAGAATGAAGCAGGTATGAATGAAGTCATCCAGTCACAAAAACACACATAGTGTGTGATTGTTCTTATGCGAGGTACTTAGACCATCGCAGTCAGAAAGGCAGGCAGTATAAGGTGCTGTCAGGGGCAGGGAAATGGGGAGTTATTGTTTAATGGGTGGAGTGTCACTTTATGAAATGAGAAGAGTTATGGGGGTGGATGGTGTAGATGGTGGGACAACAATGTAAATGTATTTAATACCACAGAGCTGGGCATTTAAAAATGGTTGAGACGATAAATTTTACATTAAGTGTGTTTTACCACAATTTAAGAAAAAAATACATATTTTTTTAAAAGATTCTATTTATTTATTTTTAGAGAGGGAAGGGAGGGAGATAGAGAGAGAGAGAAACATAAATGTGCGGTTGCTGGGGGTCATGGCCTGCAACCCAGGCATGTGCCCTGACTGGGAATCGAACCTGCGACACTTTGGTTCGCAGCCCATGTTCAATCCACTGAGCTATGCCAGCCAGGGCTAGAAAAATATATTTTTTAAAATGAAGAGGTAATCCATCAAGATGGGAGACCTATTTAAACTCAGTTTAAATATGATTCTCTGAGTTCTTTCAATAGCTGGGCTCAGAGACAAACAACAACTTGGTCAGCTCCCAAGGACCTGCTTGAAGACTATCCACCCAAGGCCAACTTTTCGGCTATGTCCTAAAATATTACTGTTCCTTAAAATTTAGCAAATAAAAGGGTCACATGGAGGGCTTGGGTCCCACCTGGAGAGGTTTTGAATCAGTAGACATCGGACAGGGCCCGTGAATCTGCATTTCCAACACCTTCCCAGGTGATGCCAACACTGTTGGTTCTTGGGCCACACAATGAGTGGCCGGCTCCGCATCCATCCCTTTGGAGTCTCAACCGTTTCACTTTCAAAAATCGCCCCCTCTCTCTTCTCCTCGCTGGCTCATTGTCATGAGCGCATAAACAGCCTCATGACTGTCAACTGAAAAAAACATCCTGCCTTGACCCTATCGCCTCTTCCAGCTGCACGGAGCAGCCCAGCCTCCCTTCTCCAGGGGGCGCTGTGTGAGAGGGCCACCTTCGCAACCGCAGACACGCAGAGTCAGCTCACACACAAATTAAGAAGCACTGGTAGGGTGTTCGTTATATTTTTAACTCGTTTGCTTTCTATGTGAGTCAAGCAAATACACTCAATTAAGGAAATTACGGAAGAGAAAAATATTAACTGCAGCTAGATCCACCAAAGACAAGCACAGTTTCTATTTTGGTGCTTTACGCACATTCATTCAACAATTTTTTTTTTAAAAAGCCAGATACTTAGGTGCTGGTTACACAACAATGAACAAAAACCCTGTCCCTGCTGTCACAAAGCTGTTTCTTTTTTCTTAATACAAAACTTCATGAAAGATCATTAAGAATATGTACAATTTTGTTTAAATAAACATCAGGGACATCTTGAAAAAAAGTACTTTCTACACAGACATGCCAGCAGATGTTTATCGGGCACTGTTCACAGGAGCCCCAAACCGGAACCGCTCCACGTGCCCAGCAACTCGTGAAGAAACAGACAAAATGCAGCACATCCATACAATGGATGCTTTTCTGCAGTAAAAGAGAACAAACTACCAATGCCTGCTGCAGTGTGGATAAACCTCACAAACGTTATGCCAAATGAAAGAAGCCAGAGCCGAAATACCATGTGTTGTTTGATTCCATTCATGCACACTTTCTAGAAAAGGCAAATCCGTGGAGACAGAAAGCGGAGCAGTGGTTGCCTAGGGCTGGGAGCGGAGTGAGTCGACTGCAGGCTGCCTCGAGGGAGCATTGGGGAGGCCATGGAAGTCTTCTAAAATTGGAGTGTGGTGATGGTTGCACAACTGTACACATTTACAAAAAAAATAATCATTGAACTGTACACTTGAAATAAGTAAATACAAAGAAATCTGTATTGGTTTGGTAAAGCTGCCATAACAAAGTACCGCAGATTAGGTGACTGAGACAATGCATATTTATTTTCTCACAATTCAGGAGGCTAGAAGTCCAAGAGCAAGGTGCCAGCGGGGTTGGTCTGTCTTGAGGCCTCACTGCTTGGCTTGCGGATGGCTGCCTTCTTGATGTGTCCTCACGCGACTGCTTCTCTGTGCATGGTTCTTGGTATCTTTCTTTCTTCTTTACAGGACACCAGTCGTATTGGATTAGGTGTCCCTCACCCCCGCTGTAATTGCCTCTTTAAAGGTCCTACATCCAAATACTGTCACAAGTCTGGGCTCCAACATAGGAATATTAGAGGTTATAGACAATTCAGTATCTAAATTATGGCTCACTAAAGCTGTTGAGAGAGAGAAAGAGAGAGAGAGAGAGAGAATGGAAGTCATACAAGGTCAAATGCCGTGTGAGCTTCGAGTTCTTTATTCCTCACATTTCACTCCCTGCCCATAAACCAACTCCTTCAATCAGCTGATCCCACTGCAAAAACTCCTTTCTCCATGGAGTGAAATGAAGAGCTTTTACAATAGTTGTTAGGACAACTTTGAGGAAATGCACATCCTGACGAATCAGCTATACCTGTATACTGGTACAGTGTTTAGATCACATGAATGGATCCAGAGTCATAATTTTTTCCCATGGAGAATTAAAATGAAATCATTATTAGGAAATACCATTCAGAAGGATGTCATGTTGACATGGGAAGACGTCCATGGTATGTTGAGTGGAAAAAGAAAGTTACAGAAGATTGTGAAAAGTATGATTTCATTTTTGTGTTAAAATAATACATGTATGTGTTATCAGTATTTGATATGATAGCTAAGGCTGGAAAGAATAATCACTGACTGATCTTGTGTATTAGTCATGCTTTTCATTTACTTTCTTTCCCTTCCTGTCGACTTTTGAGACACTTGACTAGAGAATGGATAAGGGAAGGAAGATCACAAGCAATCTATTTTATAACAGCATAGGCGAGGTAAATATTCTAATTCAGGGAAAAGTTAAGGAGTTGAGGAATTGTTGAATCAAATGAGGCTTTTCAGTTCTCCACATATTTTTCAACTGTATGTATGTGTTAGGCTATCCAATTGGCTTCTGTAAGACAATTCCAAAAAAATAGTGACTCAAGCAAAATAGAAGTTTATTTTCTCTCTCAAGAGAAAGTCTCATGTGTCAGTTCCACAGTCACCTAGAGCAGGGGTGTCCAAACCATGGTCTGTGGGACACATGCGGCCCAGGATGGTTATGATGGTTATGTATTTTACACAGAATTGTAAATTTACTTAAAATATTTTTTTTTGCTCATCAGTTTTCATTAGTGTTTGTGTATTTAATGTGTGGCCCAAGACAACTCTTCTTCTTCTAGTGTGGCCACAGATGCCAAAGGTTGGACACCTCTGACTAGAGCAAGATTGCTTCTACCTTACAGTTTTGGTGTCCTCAACAGGTAGCTTCCACCTCATGGTCCAAGATAGCTGCTGGCATATCAACATGCCAGCCAAGGGGAAGGGGTAAAGGAAAAGGGGAGGGTAAGCAAATTTATTACAAAAGCAAACTCAGTAGTTGCACATATTACTTTGCACTAGCATTGCACTGGTTAGAAGTTGACCACATAAAGCTGCAAGGGAGTCTGGAAAAAATATTCTTAGTGGTTGGCTATGTGCTAGCTAAAATTCCAGCATTCTATTTCTAAGGGAAGAGGGAACGACTGGATATTGGAAAATAATTGGCAGCCTCTTCCACACTATGCTATCTTCCCCTGGGAGTGTAGAAGGCGAGTTTAACTGGCTCTACTGTGGAATTCTTTCATTTTCCAAGACACTGATTTTGATGTTTCCAGATGACGACTCTGAGACTCCTGAGGAATTGGAAGATGAGATCCCTGTTGTGATTTGTGCAGCAGCAGGGAGAATGGGTGCTGCAATGGCTGCCATCAACAGCATCTACAGCAACACTGACGCCAACATTCTGTTCTATGTAGTCGGGCTCCGGAACACTCTGTCTCGAATACGGTAAGTTGTGTACTAGAGACTTTGGAGTTTTCTATTTGATTTTGATCTTCCTTGTATTTTCATAAATGGATTTCCTCCTTTTTTTGTTTGAGAAATGTCATTTGAATTTAGAAGGGGACGACCTAAGGTTTACTCGGTGACCTGACAAATGTGTTACCTCGCTAAGGAATTTTCACCAAAGCCTCACTAATCTGGTAGGGCGATGCGACATTCTGCAGAACTGAATTGTTTAACGAATTAAGGAACCCCGATCCTTAAGCTTATATGAAAGTCTTTCTCTCCAAAATGGTATCTCTTTTCTCTGCTTTCCTAACCTAAAAGAATATTAACATAATATAATCATTTGAATATGGCTTAGAATCATCACTAATAATAATTTTTGAACTTCAAAGTGATATCTTTCATATCACTCACTATACTAAAAAATTGGAGTTAGATTGAGAAGAAATAGACAGAAAACCAAATTTTAAATGTATTATAAAAATGTGGGATAATTGTATAATTTTAGTATGAAGAGTGACTCTCTTTAAGCCCAAAAATCATATGGAAAAAAGCTGACAGATTTGACTGCATAACAATTACAAACTTTTAAATGATTAAAAAAAACACTACAAAAAGTGAAATTAATCACGTAATAGATTAGGCAAAATATTTTCAGCATGTATTATAGACAAGTGGTTACTGTCCAAAAAAGGTAAAGCATTCATACAAACAATTTTAAAACATGCAAGCAGTTAATAAAAAATGAGCATAGAATATGAATTCACAGAAGAAAAAAATACAGTCAACAAATATGAAAAGATGTTGCATGTTACCAATAGGAAAATTCAAATTAAAACAACCATGACAGGTAACTTTGCACTCATCAGGATAGTAAAAATTAAGTAGGACAACAGTATCTAGTGCAGAAAAATGAACATGCTCATTCACTGTAAATTGGTAAAGCATTTTGAGAGGGCAATGCAGCAATATCTGGTACCACGTTATATGCATATATACCATTTCACCATACCATTTCCACTGCTCAGGAACCTGTGCTTACAGAAATTCCAGTACATAATGCTAAAATATATGCACAACAATGTTAATTTCAGCATTATGGAACATAGTAAAAAATGGCTTAAGTGCTTAAATGTCCATCAGTGGGAGAATATTTAAATGAACTATGGAATATCATCCAGCTCTTAAAAATGAAAGAAGGCGCCCTGGCTGGTGTGGCTCAGTGGATTGATCACTGACCTGTGAACCAAAAGGTCGGATTCCCAGTTAGGGCAGGTGCCTGGGTTGCAGGTCAAGTCCCCAGTTGGGGGCATGTGAGAGGCAACTTACTGATGTATCTCTCACACATTGATGTTTCTCTCTCTCTCTTTCTCCCTCCCTTCCCTTTTCTCTAAAAGTAAATAAATAAAATCTTAAAAAATAAAAATAAAGAAAGAAGGCAATCTGTGTCCACTGACGTAGAAGACCCCCATGGCAGACCATTAAGTGGACAGCGTGAGTTGCAGTGCACCTCACGTGGTATGATCCACTTTGCAAATGTCTTACCCTGTTCCAGCTGCTACAACAGAAAGCCACAGACTGGGTGGCTTATAAACAGTAGAATTTTATTTCTCACAGTTCCAGAGGCTGGGAAGCCCAAGGTCTAGGCACCAGCAGGTTCCGTGTCTGGTGAGAGCCCACTTTCTGGTTTGTAGACTGCCTTCCTGCTGTGTCCTCACATGATGCAAGGGGCAAGAGGTTCACTGGGGTCTCTTTTATAAGGAGACTAATCCCATATTTGAGGCCTGCATCCTGGTGACCTGGTCACCTCCTAAAGGATCCACATCTAAATACCGTCACCTTGGGGATTAGGTTGCGACATATGAATCTAGGGGGGCACAGACATTCAGTCTATAGCAATGAAAATCAAACCCCCAAGCTATGTGTGTACGTGTACATATATAACATGTGCTTCTGTAAAGAAAGCACCTGGAAAGATCTCCATGTTAACAGTGACTACCCCGGGGAGGGTGGAAGATTTGGGAAAAGCAGTTATAAAGGGAAGTTCAAGGTATTTCAAGTGTTATTTCCATCCGTTGTAAGGAGAATGTATTTCCATATGACTCCTAGAATTATATTTTTGGGTAACAGCACCATTAAGAGATACGTGCTGAGATATGGAAGACATTGGCTCCTAATCTGACCGACCCTTGGCTGTTGTGGGTTTTGTGGGCTTATACATGCTTTCTAGTTTTTCTGCCTCATCCGTTCTTCTTCTTTTTGGTTATTGTTGCAGATTATTCACTTAGTCTGCCCCTTAGTTATCTGTGGGCACGAAAACCAGATAACCAAACCACAAGGTGGCACATGCTGTATGTACTAAGGGTTTGTACTTGAGCAAAAGTCACGAGCTTAGGGACTCTGTGACGTTTGAGCAGGGAATGATTCCCAGTTCACCACCCCTTATTTTAGCATATTTCTAAAACCACTTTCATGGAAGTATGACACAAATATAGAAAAGTGCATAAATCCTGTGTACAGCTCAGTGAATCGTCACCAATATGTAAGCAACACACTCATGTGAGAACCACCGGTCCGACACTTGGTCAGTCTTTTTGACGTTGCCATTCTGCTGAGAGCCCAGCAGTGTCTCACTGTGGCTTTCATTTGAGGTCCCTTTATTTCTAACGAGGTGGAGCACTTTCTCCACACATTGCTCGGCTGTCTGGACATGCACGTTTGAATCTCTTGCCAGTTTTTCAGCTGGGCTGTCTTTTTCTTACCGACATGACTGCTTCCCACCCCTGGCTCTATTGAGATAGAATGGACAGGTAACATCGTGTAAATGGCTGATTTTTTTAAAAAAAGATTTTCTCTCTTTACTTTTAGAGAGAGGGAAAGGGAGGGAGAAAGAGAGGGAGAGAAACATCAATGTGAGAGAGAAGCATCAATCGGTGGCCTCTCGTACACGCCCTGAGGACCAAACCTACAACTCAGGCATGTGTCCTGACTGGGAATCGAACTGGCGATCTCTCAGTGTGCAGGATGATGCCCAACTGAGCCACACGGGTCAGAGCTAAATGGCTAATTTTATGGTTCCAATTTTGCAGACCTGAATTTTGTTGGAAAGATTTTATTTTTTTTTTTGTCAATTTTCAATCAACAGCAAATGTTACCATGGATGGCTTAAGTTTTGGAAATTTTATTTTGAGATTATTTTTTTCCAAGAAACGTATGAATTAGCTTACAAGACAAGAGCACCATAAGACTGAGAAAACGTAAGGGGAGAAGACAGGGAGTGAGGAGGCATGAGGAAGGCTGGGGGACGGAGACAAAGAAACACAGGTCAATTCCGATCATCCTGGGAGTCCAAGTGGCTTCAGTTACCATATGAGGTCGAGAGTGTCCTGCTTCACAACATGACTGAGTTGTTGGCACGTGGCAAAGTTGGTGTCAGCAGCTACAGATGCTGCTTTATAGGGAAGGGGGAACATTTTGTCTTCTTCCAGTTTCCTGCGGAGATTATGTAGATCTGGGGAGATGCTTGGTTATTACTGTTTTGTTTCATTTCCTTTGCAGAAAAGTTATGTGAATAATGAAAGGGAAAAAAAAAGGAGTTAAACCAGACCAGATGGGGGGAAAATCTGGATTTATAGACTAAACTCTACTAAGGTTACATACATTTTATTTTTAACTTTCTAAGGAGGCAACAGATTGAAGCAATAAGCAAACTGAGGAAAGGTGAGAAATGTGTACTAGAGGGCTTTTTTTTTGTCATCTCTTTAGAAAATGGATCGAGCATTCTAAACTGAGAGAAATAAATTTTAGAGTCGTGGAGTTCAACCCTATGGTCCTCAAAGGGAAGATCAGACCAGACTCATCGAGGCCCGAGTTGCTCCAGCCTGTGAGTAAGCCCATGCCCGTGCTGGGGATGGCTCTTGGAGGGACCCTTGCCCAGCACGGAGTTCTGGCCACTGGGGTGCATATGGAATAGTTTTGAAGCTTCACACGTGTTAGATTTCTACCGAACTCTGCTTATTTGTGATTTATAAGCCAGCTGCTCCAGAAAGGATTTAAGATGGTTTACATAAACATAATGGAGTTATTAAAGAAGAAATGAAGCATAAGAAAATGTAGGAAGCATGTATGTGTGTAAGGGCCAAGTAGGGAGGCCAGGGAAAAAATATTCCCAGCCCCACAGGCTGTTGTGTGTACCGCGATTGGACACAACGTTCGGCTTGGAGTATCCCAGCAGCTAAGGAAACCAATAGAATGATGGATAATGTACTTCCTGGTATCAGCTAAGATAATATTTTTGGCAGACACCAACTCTTTTCCTAGCTTTGGAATCTTAAGGTATTTTACTGCAAGAGTTCTTACAAAAGGGACTCTCTTCTGCATTAAGAGTGTTGATGGCAAATTTACAAAAAAAAATGTAGCCACCTTCTACATATATTACTTAAATCCATCCTTGCATATGTACTAAATTCTAAGCCCTCTGTGTAATGACATCATCTTCCCCCAATTCCAGGTATTTATTATTAGAGTGTGAGCAGAGCTGGGACTGTGGATTAAGCCACGCTGTGGCTAATTAAACTCTTCCCTTCAAGCCAATGCCTTTCTTGACTTTTTCTTGGCTCAAGTTGCTAAGAGGTTGAGCTTGTTGTTGAGAATGATGCCTGTGTGTGTGTGTGTGTGTGAGGCTGATTCAGTTAACAGCTGTCAAACTACCGAACGCAGAGGAAGACAGGCAATCTGTGGCCTAAACGAGTAATGAGGAAGCTTCTGTGGCTGCTCCCGCTGCTATAGTTCACAGAGATGAAAGCAGCGACAGCCTGAGCGGTTGGAGATCGGATCTAGGGCCAGTGCTGGTTTCAGCCCCAGGGCCCAGAGAAGTCGGGCATCAGAAGCTGGGGTGAGGCATCTTTGCGGCCTGTTTTATCTGCTCCAAACCTGGGGCTGAGCCAAGGCCGTGGTCAAAGCCGATCCTCCAGCACCCGTGGAAGACGCTGAGCTGTGTGTCTCTTCTCCAGCGATGCTTCTTTTGTTGTTTTAACAGCTGAACTTTGTTCGATTTTATCTCCCTCTGCTTATCCACCAACACGAGAAAGTCATCTATTTGGACGATGATGTAATCGTACAAGGTATGCTAGGCGACTGCCAAGACCACCCGGAAAAGGAGCAAGTGATAAGTAGAATGATTGTCTGTCTTCTTCATTTTCCAATCACTAGCTGCCCAGCAATGTTTCCTGCTTATTCAGGTTGGGAGTATCATATTGCTGTAAATTCTGGAATATTTTGAAAACAGGGGCTGATGCTCACTTCCCTGGACAGTCCGGTTGACTTTCTGAGAGATCCTCTCACATTGTCAAAGTCTGAGAGAAATAGCTTGGTAGCCTCTCCTTTCCCTGCACCCTAAAAGGTGGGGAGTGAGTCTCACGATGACATTCTTAGAACTAAGCTAAGTTTTGGTGTATACATGCAAATAAGATAAGTGGTGGCGTGGCACCTGCATAACAATAGAAGTAAAGACATTTGACCAGTGCTCAGCTGAGCTTTTCATCCAGTGGCTTTCTAAATGGATCTGAGCTATTCTAATGAAGTAAATTGACAAGCCACGGGGAAATCAGGGATCCCATACTTCTCCCCCAGGGATCCCATACTTCTCCCCTAGTAGGACTAGGTTAAGCTCCAAGGCTCTATAAAACAAATGCTGCACTATCTTAACTCCTGGCGCTTCTAAATGTAGGTGACATCCAAGAACTCTATGACACCACCTTGGCCCTGGGCCACGCGGCTGCATTTTCGGATGACTGTGATTTGCCCTCATTTCAGGATGCGAACAAAATTGTGGGGCTGCAGGTGAGCGCACTGTCTCGGAAATCCCACCTTCGTCCTGCCGCTCCCACCCCGGCCCCTCCCACAACTCAAAGTGAATGTGAGCTGCATGCTGGAGGAATGTGAGCTGGGTTGCTGCAGACAGAACCCAAGGGCTCCGGCTTCTGCTGACACCCCAGCTCCACTCCCTAGCAACTCATGGGCAAGTTACTTAAGCCCTGCAAGACCCACTTTTCTCGCTGAAACATGGCGGCAGTGATATCTGCATGGTCGGGCTTTTGTGAGCCGTGATGAGGTAGCATGTGGGCAATGTGTTCTGCATGTAATAAATGCACCGGAAATGGTGGTTGTTATCTAGGTTGCTCTTAACTGCCCTCTCTGTCAGAGATGGTGTTTTCTGTAAAAGACTTGCTATCCCTTTGTTCTCTTTTCAGAGTTTTGACCATTGCTTCCTCCCCTCCCCCCACCTTTTGGTAGAGGAAAACATTGATTTTGTTGAGAGGTAAACAGCTCCTTACCCTGGTGGAAATGAGAAAAGGTGCCCCCATGGGTAATGCTGAAACCAAAAGAATGGCTGTAAAATACACAATGCTATTAAGAATCTCATGCTGTTCTTCAAAAGAGGTTCCAGGGAGTAACTTTTAAATGTGTGACACTGAAGAGGTGACATACTTTAAGGCTGAGACTTTGGGGCCAGACACGACTTTGTCAGGATCTGGGCTCCATCACTTAGTGGCTTTGTGACCTTGAGCCAGTGACTTAACCAATGGTTTTCTCCTTCATTTGTCAAGTAGAGGGAGAGTCATTGTGAGAATTAAATCAGCTAATCCATGTAACGTTATGGCACGCCATCAATGAGGCGATGCGTATACAGTTTTTAGAACAGTGCTTGGCATATGGAAAGTGCTCAAATATTTCTACTGCTTCCAGGTCGAATTGGAGCATCCCACTGAGGCAGATTATTATAGCAGCCTTTGTGGGTGGAACAGTACATCCTGCCTGGTGCCCATACATTCATTGAACTACGTGTTGAGTGCCTACTATGTGCCTGACACTGTTTTAGGTACTAATGATATAGTCAACAAAACTAAAATTCCTGCCTTTGTGTAGCTCACATTCTAGTGGGAAGACAAGTAAAATTCAGTAATTCACAGAGGATGAGGGTGGAGGTGGGGCTGTAGTGTAAATAGGGTGGTTGTGAAAGGCTCCACAGAGATGGTGCGGCCAAGCCTACACCTGAAAGAAGGAAGGGAACCACCTAAATGCAGAGAAACATCCCACGAAGAGGCAACAGCAAGTGCAAAGGTCCTGAGGCAGGGGTGCGTCTTGTGGGTTAAGCAAGGTGGTCTGGTGGCGGAGGGGTCAAGAGGGAAGATATTGGAAAGTGGAGAGCAGGTGGTACAGGGCAGGGCTGGCCACTTTAGGAACTCTGGCTTTTACTCTGAAAGCAGGGGGAGGCATTACAGCAGATGGGTAACGTAGAGATGGAGGGAACGTTGCAAAGGGTGGGAGAACAAGGAACCCAGGTGAGCAGGAACTTGCAGAAATCCAGTGAGTGGTGATTATGGCCTGGACTAGAAAGGCGACAGTAGAGGCAGTGGGAAGTACTTGGCTTCTGGATATATTTTGGAATATTCCACCAACAGGATTTGCTGACAGATCTGGATGAACAGTGAGAAAGAGGAGTCAAAGATGACCTAATGACCCTGGGTTGCTTGGCTGTTTTTTTTAGGTGTTTTTTTTTTTTTCCCTAAGTAATTAGAAGGACAGGGTAGCCACTGAGACAGGGCAGGCTGTACGAAAGCACGTTTGGGATAGGATTGGGAACATTTGGATATAAGTGGAGCTGCCCTATTAAGCATCCAGAAGGAGACACTGAGTTGGCAGATGTAGCAGGAATGGGAAATCCAGAGGGGAGGCCAGGGCTGTCTGCATGGACGGGGTTTAGAGCCACGAGACTGGAGGAAGGAACAGGTGCTGGAACTGAGACTTGGGGCACTCAGCTTTTAGACGTTGGGGAAACAAGAGGAAACCGGCCAAGGACACGAGGAAGTGGCCGGTGACACCGGAGGAAACCCAGAGACCCCGCACAATGGTTTCAAGAAAACGATCGTTTTCCAGAAACGAAAGATTCGCTGGTCACAAGCATGCCTGTCCTGTTCCTTTGCAGAACACGTACATGGGCTTTCTGGACTACCGGAAGAAGACTATTAAAGACCTTGGCATAAGCCCCAGCACGTGCTCATTCAATCCCGGGGTGATCGTGGCCAACATGACGGAATGGAAGCACCAGCGCATCACCAGACAGCTGGAGAAATGGATGCAAAAAAACGTGGAGTGCGTGCAGACCCGTCTGCCGCTTCTTCTGTGCTCGGGGACAGAATTACTCAATTAATCTTCTGTGCATAGCTCAGGAGTGAGGGATATTTTATAGACATCTTAGGTCAGACTTTCCCAGAGAAAGAAAAGAGGTAGTAGATGAAAATTTATTCTCAAATGGGATGTCAGAGGAAGTGAGATCCTGCAGAATCCCTTGTTATATGTTTTTTTCTCTAGGAAATTGTTTAACAATGTGACTTTAACTCTCCTCCCAGAACTCTAGTGAACCTTTCCCACTAAAAATCACTTATCTTAGTTGTTTCTTTTTACAGGAGAAAATCATATAAATCTCCTTTATAGGTTTGTTCTTAAGGATTATTTTATGAAGTCAACTTTCTTAGGGTTGAATTTTCTTCCATGGATCATTTTTCTTTATTGAAATTTTGAACAGAGAAGATGAACGCTGCTAACACAACCACTATGACCATATCCCTGCATTTCCTTTCCTGCTTTTATTCTGGGTATTTTAAATGCCATCGTAACCTTGAATTTGTAAATAGATCTGTTCTGAAGAACGGAGGATCAGAAATTGATCTTCTATGTTTGTCATTAAAAAGACTGAGAATTACAATGGCAAAATATTAACGCTGTGAAGCTAGGTGAAGTACGTGGAAGTTCGTGATTTTCTGCTTACAATTTGTGTAGGTGTGACAGTTTTCAAAATACGAAGACTATAGTCTTCTTAAATAGCGAGAGAGACTGTTTTGCATCTTTTAACTTTATTAGATTCTACTGTGTCTGAGTCTGTGGGGCTCCAGGCCAAATGCTGCCTTTCCCTTCCTCTTCTCAGGGAGAATCTCTACAGCAGCTCCCTGGGAGGCGGGGTGGCCACCTCCCCGATGCTGATTGTGTTCCACGGGAAATACTCCACAATCAACCCCCTCTGGCACATAAGGCACCTGGGTAAGTACTTTAGGAAAACAACACGAACGGGCATTTCGTAGACCCAGGGAGCGCCAAAGCCTGGGAAGCGTGCTACAGCACCAGCCTCCTCAATGCAAATCCTCTGGGCGACCTTGGAGATGACCTTGGACTCATTTAACCTTCCCTGCTCAGATTGGCAAATGCAGCTGATACGAATGGCCTACCTGAGAGGTGTGTTTCTAGGAATTCCTGAAAAGCAATGAGATTCATGCTTGGCAAGTACCCAGTAGGAGCAAGATAAGCATCAACTATTGTGAAAGCTTTCACGGTCAAAACACTTCCACATGCCTTTATTGTACTCTTGCAGTGGCCTGTGGTGGACAAAAGCAAACGAATTAGCATAATGGCTTGCGATGCATTTATATAAAATTGGCAATGTGTCTTTGAAAAGGAAGTTACTGATTGTGTACTGTGTGAGTCCCTTAGCAGTCTCTTATTCCCTCTTCACTGCAGGAGGGCAGGCTCCGGGGTGCGGGTTGGAAGCCCAACTCTGCTACTTACTGCCTGTGACCCCGGGCAAGTTATTCAACCTCCCTTAGTTTCTTCGTTTGTAACCGAAGCTAACAGACCCTTTATAAAGTTTTTACAAAAACAGTCAGTTACCTAACACATGTAAATTGTTCAGCAGAGCCAGGCACAGAGACATTCACATTCACGCAAACACATGGCCGCAGCCCGGTAGCTGAAACCACTGGGCCAGACCTGTTTAGAAACTGAGATGGGTTTTGAATTTTTGAAAATTGAAGTGGTGCACATATTTATGTTATGCAATACCCTAAGTGGAATCTTGGTTATGCTGCCAGAGAATTTATTAAAAATCCTTTCGTTTGCAGACATTTTGGGATTATTTTTGATATTGGAGACAGTCAAATCGGTTATGGATTTACATTTATCAAGTGCCCATGACATTTCTAGGCACCCGGCTAAGTTCTGACGATAAAGGTGAACGTTATTTCTAATTCTGGGAACAAGCCTTTAAGGTGGCATTTCCCTTACTCTACCTTTCAGAAGAAAAGCGGACAAAACTGTGGATGCAGGGTTCCTGTCTCCTCTTACTGGTTCTGTACACACTGCTTCTGCCTCATCACCAGATTCTCCCCTGATTTTCCCGAGTGTCTGTCTGTGCACATAAAAGCGACACAGGGAAGTTAAGGACGCTGTTTTTCCCTCTGACTTGATTTATATTAACGCTGAGTTCACTGTTAGGTCAGATATCAACATTTCCATGTAATGGATGAGCAGAAAACCCCATTGAAGTAGCGTGTCTATAAAAAGTGTTCTGTAGGAACAGCTATGGGGAGCTTCGATCGATAAGGTTAGAGCATTTTTATGATCTCAGAACAGAGACTCAGAATTACGTTTTATGAAACATATGACTTACTGACAAGTAGAAAGGGGCAGAACCTTGCCAAGGGAAAGAAGTCATTTTTCTTTGTAGAACAGAACCTATTCTGTGCTGAGGGTTTTGGAAACAGGGATAGTCCGCAAAGTAAATCTACACAGTGGTCATCTGACAAAACAACCCCGTTTCAGTGTTCGGAAAGTAGAAAGCAATGTAATGCGAATGGGTATTAAGTTTGCGTCTAAACAGAGAGGCTTAAAATAATAAAAATTGATGAAACATTGAGCTAAAAGCAAACCTGCGAGTCCCTAGAATCCTTCAGTCACAGAGCTGAGAGATGATGGACGTCCTACTTCACGAGACTTCTCCCCTGAAGGTACCTCTTCCCGAGTGAGCATTGCCTTCACACAGGTTCTTTGGAAGTTGGTAATTATTCCAGTTCTGCCACGATAGCCTGGAACACTGCTCCTCTTCTGCCACTGCCTTCGCAGCCGTGTTTATGAACAGCAGAAGACAGGTGTTGGTCCTCTCCGTACATCCTATGTTAAACTAGAGTGTCATAATCCTAGTTACTAATATTCACCCTCTCTTCACTTTCTGTTGTTTTTCAAAAACATCAACTTCCCTTTCCTAGAAAAAAGTTTTACACCTTAGAGGATATTTTAAAAAGATTTACATTTGCAAGATCTTAATGCACTTCTAGAAGTGATATTCTAAAAATACTCTGAGCAACAGCAATGTTAGGGTAAATGCATAGTCTCTAAGTGATTACTTACGAAGGGAATAATATTCAAATAGAGGTAATAGCTGGGTGTTAAAAAGTGGACCTTTTTTTTCTAGTTGTATTTCATACAGTAAAAATGAAACTAAAAGAAAATGTTGCCACATGGCAGGCAAGTGTAGGAAAACAAGAACTATAAATACTGGGTGGTAGCGAAACTGTGACAAGTTCTTTTGGGGACAATTTGATCATCTCTTATCAAAAATTAAAAGGCACACGCCCTTCAATGTAGCAATTCCACCCACAAGATTTTTACCCTACAGGTTAGAGCAAAGGTTTAGTTGTTCATATAGAAAGTAATACAAGAATAAATTCTGTTTCATGTACTCACAAGTGTAAATGTACTTTTGCCCCAGTCACATTTGTGTACATGCACAGACATGCACAGAAGGCTGTGTTCGTTGTAGCATTGCTCATTTTAGTGAAGGGTCCAAAATAACTTAACTGCCCTCAATAAAGACCTCGCTCAATAATCACACATGCACTCTATGACTCATTAAAAATAATTCAGTAAATCCACATGTGCTACTGTGGAACATTTCCTAAGAATAATTTTAAAGGCAAGTGACAAGTAAATTTTAAAAACACATATATAATATGCATGTGTATGTATATACACAAATACATAATATGTATACATACATACATACTGGTGTACAGGTAGAATATTACTAAAAGATTTTTTTAAAGATTTTACTTATTTATTTTTAGAGAGGGAAAGGAGGGAGAAAGAGAGAGAGAGAGAGAGATCAATGTGCAGTTGCTGGGGGCCCAGCCTGCAACCCAGGCATGTGCCCAGATTGGGAATCAAACCTGCGATGCTTTGGTTCGCAGCCCGAGCTCAATCCACTGAGCTACGCCAGCCAGGGCGAATATTACTAAAAGATTTCACGAGAAACTCAAATTGTGGTTATTTTGGAGACTTAGGGTGGGTGGTAAACTCTTCACTGTATACCCTTTGATTTAATTTTTATTTTTTATATTGAACCTATATTCAAATTTTAATCTCTCAAGTGTTTATTTTCTAACAAGCCTATTAATTTTCCTATAAATACAATAAAGGCTGGAATCCAGATACCAGATATTCAGAGCACTTTCTGCAAGAAGCAAAATTACTCCACTGGAATGGAAGGCATAAACCCTGGGACTTCTCCAGTGCCCACAACGACCTCTGGGAGAGCTGGTTTGTTCCAGACCCTGCAGGGATATTTAAACTCCATCACCACGACACCTGATAGAACTGGGCGAATTTTAGATACTTTCTGTATGAAAACGTGGAATTGTCCACTTGTAACCTACTATGACATCATTCTTCAGGAACGGTATCTTCGATACGTATGACGCACAATGTGAAAAACGAAGACTGCTGTGTGCTGGTAGTAGCTTGGGTCCCGCTGGTGCGGATGTACTTCCTTAAGTACAAGTGGTAATTGTGGAAATCAAGATTCTGTGAGTGAAACATATGGTTGGAAACAAAGAAAGAAACCCATCTGGGTTTCAGCAATCAATCTGCTTAACTCAGTGACAATTATATAAAATTTCAAAAATTTTCTAAATGTATTTTTCACATGTAGGTATTTTTTAACAGGTTGCCCATCTTGTCTTTTGTATTACATGTAAAACATGAATGTCTGAAAAAAATAAAATAGATTTTGAAATGATTTTCATTGTAGAATACAGTATTCTATATAGTAAATATAATAGGTGGTAAACTGATCTCAGGTTTAAAGGAAGAAAGAATACCAGTGAGTCTTGGTACAGAAAAGCCTGGAACGTATTCATTCTTAATATTTTTTATTGTAAAAACCATCACACTTTCAAGTGAATTTAAAAACTTTTCCGATGGTATTTAATGAAAAAGTCTCGCACTGTCATGGATGGGATATGCCACCATTTACTACTCGTCGGTCATATTTAATGAAAAACACCTTTGTCGTATGCTTGGAAAACCCTCAAGCCCATTCTTCCAGTGAGTGTCCATAATTTAAAGGGCATTTTCTCCACTTAAATAAAAACAAATCTATTATAAGGCTACACATTATTATTTACCAAAGCAATACCTAGTTACATGCTTTACATAGTCCCATGAAAAAATAATTCGATTGTTCCTAATCCCTGATGCAAGGCACTTCCAAGCACCCACACAAAACATCCATGTAAACAGCAGTACAGTACAGGATTCAAATAACATGAATGACTTCACACAGCTTGATGCAGACTAAAGGAGAACAAAGTCCATCACAGCCACAGCTAAAAAGCATGTTCAGATTCACAAGGAGTTGTTTCTCTTATATAAAAAAAAAAAAAGAGAGAGGCCATATAATCTTTTAGGGAAAAAAACAGCTGATAAACATTTCATATTGAAAAGCATGCTCCTTGGGTATAAGTGATCAGGAATCAACGCACATGGCATTTCCAAGTACCCGGCTTTCCATCTGCCAGGCCTAGCCACCCGGACTGTTTGTAGCACCTTGGAGAATGCATTAGGAAATCACAAGGGTACGTTACTTCAAAACAACCTTGCCATAAGGTTAACTTAGTCCACAGTAGCAAAGAGCAATGATGTAGAGGAGGAATTTTTAAAATTACTGGCTTATTAGATTTAACGAGTGAAAAAATTCTGTGTTATTTATATCAGTACATCTCATGTACATAAAGCACCAGTTTAAATAAGATTATTGAACACCTCCAGCTTCTTGTTGCTCGGCCTGAAGGTGCATTTTTCGTCACGGTCCATGCTACACCCTTAAAGCCAAGGAGGATAAAATTCGAATGGTGACAGATACGGAAAGAGAAATTCAGCTCCTCCCCTATCAAATGTATGTCTGTCAAGTAAAACACAGAGGTGGCGACAATATTGAAAAGGTCTGCTGCATTCTCTGGAGCCCACCACCCCAGCAGCATGGTTTCTGCCCGTTGGAGGACTAGCACACAGGGGTGCGGAGGCCAAAGCAGGGGTCAACGCCCTGTCAGTAAGGCCAGGACAGCCTTGCTGCCGCAAGGCCACACTACATTTGTACGAGTAAGCAACTCTCACAAACAATCACCGCCGGTAAAGAGGCCCGAGTGTGAACAAGACTCCACTGAGGCTTAACTTCGAGTGAAAATCAACACACCTGCCTCTTTCCCGGTGGTAATTCTTATTATTAGTATGCCCTTCTCAGGCATAAAAGGGATAACGGTGTCTCTAGATTTATGCTAATAATCTAATATAAATATTCAGGCTGCTGCATTTTAAAATTACAGATACAAAGTGACTCCCAAAAGAAAATCAATTTCCTCATAAATGAAAAAGGCTTTATAAAATGCTGGAATGATGGGTAATTCAAATACAAAAACTCATATATAAAAAAACCCCCTACATTTTCCTTCTAAACTACTTAGGTTCATACAGTTGGCTCTACCATGCAACTGTACCTATGACTACATCACCAGAGTAAAACACTAACAAAATACTTCAGTTAGCCAACTGAGGGCCGCCGCTCGACAGCTGCATTAAAACTGCAGCATCTGAGCAGAGCCGAGAAGCACCGTTCTTAGGCATGGTCGCCTTCCCCCTGCTCTTGCGTCCCACAGTGATTGTTAAGGGAAGGAATCTGGTCTGTAAACGACGGGCTCATCCACTGCCCATTTGGAACATCACCGAAGGCTGGTTCTCCGCCGCCAGCTGCTGCGGGGAAGGGAGAGAAGGTTAGTTTATTCCGTTTGAAAGCTTTACATGATCAAATTAGGAGATTCAAGTCTTCAGTGAAGGACAACTGGTGTTAAAATAGTTAAGCGAGCTTCTTGAATACAACGATAAGTTTCTGTTCTATTTTTGGATACAGGACTGACAAACCCTCATTTGTTATTCGGGGAGGAAAATGCTGCTAAGATGACTTACTAAAGTTAGTGACAAAGAGAATGAGCCGGGAGCTTGTGTAGCTAAACATTAAATAACCATCACATTTTCTCTATAAGTCACTAAACAGATGTTTATATTGTAATTCCCATTCTTCAATAATCTGCTTTTTTAAAAAAGCTCCCCCCCGCCCCCATGCTGACCAAAGCCAGTCTCTGCAAGCACGCGCACAGGGAGAGGAACATACTCAGCCCGTTCGAAGGGAAGCTGCAAGGCTCGCTGCCGCACGGGTTTGCACCGTAAGCACCACCGTACGCTGCTTCGTAACCCGGGTCGTATTTTTCTTCCTTCACAGCCATCTTCTTCGCATCCTCTGTGAGGGAGGGGAGGGAAGGGATTTAAAACTGATTTTGTACAAGAATTTTCGGAGACAGCTTTATTCGGAAATCACGATGCTATTTTTTTCTTGAATGTCCATGTATACTGAGATACATCTTTTTCACTTTTCATAACATATACTACACTAACTCATAATAACTGTTAAAGTCTGTAAGATTTAATATGAGGTGGGTTGCAATGTTTCTTATGGCCTCGACATCTGGAGGGGCACCAGATTAGATGGAAGACCATAGTAAAAGATTTTAACAGTGACTAACACCCATGATCAGAGCACTCCGGCTGCAAATATAACTGCTTTCTCTTCTCCTGCTGTCAAATTACCACAGACTTTCTGCAGTACGATGCACTCGAAATGAAAACAAGCAGCGACGATGGTGACTCACCTTGGGCAAGCTGCAGGTCAAATGTATACTGAACCTCTTGAACATCTGTGTTTCGTTCAATGCCTTTCAACTGATCTCTTAGGTCTTTCAGCTTAATGTAGTAATGCACCTTGTCCTGGGCCCGAGGGAACTGAGCGCACCTTGCACTGGATGACGGCATCACATAGCAGAGCTGGAACCATACAATTTCACAGTTACGGAAATCTTGTAACTCTGTTGAATCCACTCCTATTGCGACTAGAAAATTTGTCTTTCTCTGGGCTAATAATTTGATACTTACCACATACCAATATATGCAAAATCAATAAAAGTAGTTGTGTTCGAGTTCAAAATTTGTAACATTTACATATTATAAAGTGAATAAATCAAAAACAAGGCAGCTACCCCCCGTGTTCATCTCTCCATTAACAGTCTTTTAATAGTAAACACGTGTTCACAGTTGCAAAGGCTGAAAAAGGCATGGAAGTTTCCAGTGCAGCCCCCCGCCCAGCTCTCTCTCTGTGCACCTGGCGCCCTTCCTCCAGGGCCATCAAGGGCGCTAGTCGCAGGGGTAGCCACGACTGCACAATAAAATGCGTCTGGATCACTATTCTCCCTTACCCCTTCTAAAGCACACACACAGGGTAATATGGTCTATTCTGCACCCTGCTTTTGAGATAATTCTGTAGAGTAAAAAGAGCTTTCGTTTTTATAAATGTGTGGTGCTTTTCATATTTATTTAACCAGAGTCCAGCTGTGGGCATGTACGCTGTTTCCAATCTTTTAATACTGTAAGCTATGAAAAACCTTATACGTATTTTATTTATAGAATATGTGTGCGTGTATCTGTTGGATAAGTTCCTGCAAGCGGAGGAAAATATCTGGACGGTGGCAACAAACGCCCTTCACAGAGCACGACTCTGACCCACGGAGGAGTGAGACTGCCGGGTCACGGGCTTTCCGGGTCCAGTTTCTGCCGTTTTAAAATCGTCCTCCTTACTGCGTACTACAGAAAAAAGCATTATTTGCTTGTTTTGGTTATGAGGCATTGATATGTCAGCACAAATGCTACCAGGTCTTGTAACAGCACATTCTCCAATCTCAAAATAGCCTTCAATTGAAGGGATTCAGAAACTTGAAAAAGTAGGTATTTTTTATTTCAAAGTTGAATCACTAGTACCTTATCAATAACTGAATATTTTATGATAGAGAATAAAATTTAAACAAAATAAATGTACTCACAGCTCATTGTAAGAGCTAAAACAACCTGCCGTGACATGATTTAAGGTCACTGACGATTGCGCTGCTACAGTCACACGGCCATGAGCCGCACACACCTGAGCCTCAACCGGCATTTAAGGGACAATAATGCAGTGCTTGTTAAGAAACAGCGAACTCATACGTACAATGTTACTCACGAGGACAGGGTAGGCAGGCCTCTGTTTGGAGAATTGTCTGTGCTACAACCCACTTTGTCAACAGTATATTTACTAGAAGTTAAACACCAAAGACAGGAGGCGGAAACTTTATTCTGAGGTCTCAAGAAACCTGTCAGCACACCGGCTTCTCTTTCATTTAAAATGTCGTCTATAACATACGCGTTTGTGTGTGTGTGTGTGTTGTTTTTTTTAAAAGCTGTAAACAAAACTGAAAACCATATTTAAGAAGCATGGTTTGAACCAATGTCTGCAGAAGCTCTGCAGAAATGGCAGAAGAATTTGGAAACCACTGAGTTATTTCATGACGCCTCCATGTGTCAGACGACAGTACCCAGAGCCTGTCCCGTCGGCCTGCAACCGGCCTGCACCATTTATACGGCTCTCGAACGAAAGTGGAGCAGTTCCAGTTGTACTGATCAGGATACCTATAATTTTCATGTTTGTTTCACAAGTAAGGAAGGGCTAACTTACTTGAATTTGATGAGAATATGCCATTAAATACATTTTGAATATAGTATGTGAGCCAGCTCCTCTCAGTTTTTAGCCAA